TCACTTCTACACCAATAATAATACTCACTCGATTTTTTTTAAAACAAGTTCAATAATGGTGTTCTATTCAAATCCAATTAATCATTCATTAGAATGCTTGAATTTTCAAGTTTTCTTATTTACACAGTTCATATGATGTTCCTGGATTCGATTCCTAAATGTTCTGCCAGTTTGACCAATATATACCTTAGGACACGTTCCATACTTCAATTTATATACTTATGATTTCTCGAATTTGGATGTTTTGTCTTTATTATTTTTAACTAACTTGTTCTATATGCAATTTTAATATCTCGTTTACTCAAAAATGAAGCCACTTTTTCCGTTGTTTGTCCAAAATACGTTAAAGCTTTATAATTTTGATTATCTACCAGATCAATAGGAAAAACGTCTCGATTCGCTTTTTCGTAGACTTTTTTGGAAAGTATTTTGTTCATTAATTCAGGTTCATTATAGAGCTTTAACGTATTTTGGACAAACATCAGAAAAAGTGGCTTCATTTTTGAGTAAACGAGATATTAAAATTGCATATAGAACAAATAATACGTTGGGAAAGTTAGTTAGAAATAATAAAGACAAAACATCCAAATTTGAAAAATCAGAAATATATAAATTAAAGTATGGAACGTGTCCTAAGGTATATATTGGTCAAACTGGCAGATCATTTAGGAATCGAATCCAGGAAAATCATATGAACTGTGTAAATAAGAAAACTTGAAAATTCAAACATTCTAATGAATAATTGATTGGATTTGAATAGATTACCATTATTGAACTTGTTTTCTTAAAAAAAACCGAGTAAGTATTATTATTGATATAGAAGTGAGGTAATATGCTACAGGTAATCTTAATTGAAGAGGTATCTTAGGTATATAAAAGTTGTAGAGGTTTAGGTAATTTGTTGGAGGTAGTTTCAATTGGAGTTATAAATATTAGCGAAAGAAGCAACTTGTAGAATTCAAATCACTGTCGAAGAAGCTACCATGTTAGCGAAACACGTCATGATATATTTCTCAAATAAAGTTTGTGGAGATCAAATCGCAGGGTATAGTTCATGAAATCGAAGATCATGTGATTTGACCCCGTTAGACTTTTTCTTTCGGGGTTTTCTCAAATCGCAGGTGTATGCGAATAAGCCACAAACCACAGCGGTACTCAAAGCCATCATAACCCTTGGCATAGGTTAAATTCGGTCTGATTTATGCGCCAGAGTCATGGGAAAGTTGGACGTTTTAAATGCGCTCTACCAAGAGAAGCTGTGGCGGACATTCAATGATGTTATAATCCACACATAACAAACGAATAAAATATTTCGATGAGATCTCACACACATTTGTTTTATTTATATTTAAAGATAGGAAGCGCCCAATGAAAGACCCTATATAACATAATCAAAACACTCTCTCTACTCCCTTTTTCTTGGTTGTTTGACAAATTATAAATTATCGCATACCGTGTTTTGACACGGAGGAATAGACTTGTAGAGAGATAGAACCATTCGACACTCTTATGGCAAGTATAGAGCAGTATTTTTTCAGTAGGACATTTTAAATGAAAAATGAAAACTGTTATATTGTAAAATATGTTTTTGTGTCGAAGCTATTTTTCAGGTTTGTTGGTCGTGGTCTGCAGGTTTTTAAACCTGACGTTTCGTTCATGAATGCGGTGGACATTATCAAAGGCGATGAGGTAACGATGGTGGGCATGACTTAATTCCTATCACCCGAGTTGAATGATCTAATTTGTGTACTGTTCAGGCAGGTAGCCAGATTTTAATAATGTTGATGCCCTCTTTTTATTGAAATTGTCTTTGTGTTTATGAATTTCTATTGCCTCCTTGTGTAATCTTGAACAGTAATTTTGGGTTTCGTCCAGTACCTGTATACCCTGTATATCATTGAACGAGATAACGTATATGCCTTCTTTGAGTATTTGGCTCTAAACTGTCCAACTGAGGAAACCACCATTGTAGTGAAAACCGTATTGGAAATAAAGTCTATATTGTGAAGATTTGTAATTATTATCATGTATATTATTTTATATGTCAATAAATTAACAGAAATAGTGCAACATCAACACCAGCATTAATCACTTTTAGGTATTCATAATTAGAATAATAAAGTGTTGAAAAGTGATAAGATTATCTATTGATAAACACGTGCTAAGAAGAATGTTAGTGGTTTGTACTTCCATTCTCTAACAATTTTCGAACTTCTAACATTCACCATATGATTTTGATCAGGATTAAAAATGTTGCAAACAACTGGCAATAAAAATATTAGTAAGCAGTGAATTGACGACACTGTTAAGTGTTCTGTCTTGATTTTGTGTTTAAGAGTTGAAACCCAACTTTGACTAAATAGATATTTTTCAAACTAATGACCATAATTATAGTCGATACCGTTGACATTGAATAAGTAAGTATTGAAAACAGCAAACTCTATTGCGTGTTCAGCGTATAATCAATCCCAAACAAGAAATAATTTTTAAAAGATACATAAATTTTAATAAAACTCAACTTTTTTATCCTTGCGTTAATATTTTAGTTTTTTAAGAATATAATACTTACTCTAATTTTTTTAATACAACGAAACTTCAGAAATAAATCTACTCCACCCAGAAGGAAGTCTGTATTGTCAAAGTGGAGATTGTAGATGAATTGTATTATAATACACTTCTCCAATAAATNAGCTCGAATGCTTTGGACAATACAGGTAGTTTGCTAATGGGTCTAAGGTGCGAGAATTCTGTAGGATTGTCACATTTAGGCAAGGGTAATACTATTGCTTTTTTTCAGAGGGTGGGAAAGGTATTAGTTTCAATTGCGGTGTTGAACATGTGGGTAATGTGGTTGATTAGGAAGCTCTCGGCTGGTCTGATCATTTTGATGGATATCCCGTTGATGGAGTTGATAAAGACTCCTACTATAATGTTATATTTGGTAAACCCCTAGTATATGCCATTTGTGAATGTCATGTTTTCGACTCTGGTTCAGTGCTTTAGTTTTTATTCGCAAAAATATAAAAAGGAGCACGAAATGTACCTACTGAGTTCGCAAATCTGAACGAATTTCGAAGGTACACGGTCGATGGTAGGTTAGACGTTTCTGGAAAACGCAAAGCATGATTTTTCTGAAAATTTCACCTCTCACATTTCCTTACCTGTTNTTTACTAACCGAGTTTTATTATTGGCTGAAGAGTCATAAAATTCATGTTACGGTGACGAATAAAAATCGGGGAATGCGGAGATGGTTATCAACGTAGTGCCATCAATGTTCAGTTCAGGAACTAATCGCGATTTGAGTGTTGAAATTCGATATTGGTGCAATTATAATTACTTAAAATTTTTGTTATTGTCATTGATTCAATGTGTCTCACATCCATCACACGGATCTTGCAAATATTCCGTGAAACAGACGATCATGCTCGCAGACCAGGGCAAGGACGAAATCGAGCAACTACCCCTATTCAGGATCGATATTTGAGAATTTTGGCACTTCGACCACGGTTTGTTACACATCGAAGTCTACAAATTCACTTTCTAAACATGCATGCTATACAAATCAGTTCGGAAACTGTTCGCCAGCGACTCAGGGAATACAAAATAACACCTAAGATTGCTGCCTGGGGTCCTCTATTAACTGCAGACCATCGAAGGGAGAGACTACGTTTTGCCAGAGAATACGTCAATTGGTTAAAGGTTGACTGGGAACGAGTGGTACTCATCGATAAGTCCTAATTTTGTGAACACAATAACAATAGTTCGTGTGTTAGGACGTTCCAATGAACGATATGTTTAATGTACCTTTCCACAAATCACATTATTTGGTGGTATACGGTGGTATTTCTTTGGCCGCACGTACGGACCTCGTGGTGTCATACACGATGGGTCCGTTACAGCTGAAATGTGCATAACGGAGATCTTGGAGCAACACGTAGTGCCATTCGCCCCAATAACTTTCTCACACATAAATTATGCTTGAGAAAGCTGCTGTAAAATCCTTTATAGTGAAAATCGTACAATAAACCGTATCAGTAAGACTTAATATGGATTTTCATGAGGTATCCGCCAGTTCTATTCTATTAATAGGTAGAAACAGTTTCCACAAGAATCAGATCAAATCTCAATATTCAGTTCCCTCTACTCAAAAAAATATTTGTTATATACAGGGCGTTCGTGAATGAGTGCGTCAAACTGCATGAAAAAATAATGACAGTTTGCCATTTAACTTTTGCCCGCAAAACCGGTTTTAGATCAATATATAAATAGTCAGTTTTTGAGACAAACTTCAACACGTCGTATCTCGGAAAACGAATCATTTTCCCACAAAAGTTCTATTTCAAACTGTCACTGAAGTTTGTCGCACTTATTCACTAGCACCCTGTATATATATTTCGGCGAAAATTTCTCACTAATTCAAGACAACGCCAGCCTTCGTGTTGCACAGATACTCAAAAAGTACTTTGAAGAGGTTAAAATTTGCACCTTGGCATGGCCAGCACGTAGCCCGGATTTAAATCCAATACAAAATATCTGGGTTATCGTTTGTGAGCGATTGAGGGAGCACCCGGTCCAACCAAACAACCTATGGGAACTGAAGGGGATACTGATTCAAGTTTGAAGAGGACTGGACCAGAATCAAATTAGGCTCATAATTTTAAGTATGGGCCGACGATGTAATGCTGTTATACGTGGTAGGGGTGGAAACACTCGTTATTAACAGTTTTCTGTATATTTTCGTCAAATTTTTTCCAACAATATTTTGTTTGTTATTTTTTTTTCTATGTTACGCCAATCCTCGATAATACAGTTATACAGTTACTGACACTCTGAAGGTGTTTCATTTTGTTATGTCTCCTCTGACTACAAATAAAATTGATTCATTGAAGTGGTGCGTTAATTTCTTGGAGAAGTGTAAAATAAAATTATTTTTTATTCGAAAAATTGCTTCAGATACTAATAACTATTTCACACTTTCATGTTCTTTTTTTTATTCCAGTGTCCGATGCAGAACTCAAGAGGGTATGTGAAGCCTTCAAAAGACTAACAAATGGTGGGCAGTTCCTGAGCCGCCATTCGTTCATTCTGAATGTGCTTGGGGATGGTGTGCCTGCAACCATAGCAGAATGGCTGTATTTAGCTTGTGGAGGAACCCCCAGAGGAATTGGTCTTAAGGATCTGATATGCGGATTATTGTTGCTCACAAAAGGCACACAAGATGAAAAAATCAAGTAAGATATGTGATCGTATGTAACGTGTATGTTTTTTCAAATCAAAAATAGCTATTTATGATATGAGTGTTAAAAGTAAGGTTTTATTTTTTGAATGAAAAAGTTTGCGAACGAGCGTAGCGAGTTGAGCTGATGTAGACTTAAAAACGTCAAAGGAAATTTCAGCGAAACCATCTTCTTAGCCTACTGGAAGAGACATCAAAAATATGGAACTCGTCAAATTTGTGTAGCAAGTTTTCAATGATAAAGTCAAGTGGGCTTGTTAAAAATGGTGTTAATACAAGCAAATATTTTAAGGTAATAGCATTCTTGAAGCGGAAAAATGAAAGTTATAGGCCCAAAAAATCAAAAACTCTTATATTTGAACAAGTCCAGAGGTTTATAAATGAGGCGCTAGATGAAAAATATTTGATGATAAAAGTTGCTACCATTTTCGGAATATATGGAGTCTGCCGGCGTGAAGAGCTGTCCTATTTATTAATAGAAGACATTAAATTAATGTATAAATTTTTGATTGTTCAAACTCCAAATACAAAAACGAAAATAGCTCGTTCTTTTTGCATTGTTGGAAAAAAGCATTGACTATTTCAATAAATACGTTGCATTATGCCCTTCTGTTATTAATCATCAAAGTTTTTTTCTGAAATACTCAAATTATAAATGCAGTGCCAACCCAGTTTGTATAAACACGTTTGCGAAAATCCCCTCTACCATTGCTGAGTTTCTGAACCTACCGGAACCAAAGGAATATACAGGTCACGGTTTCAGGAGGTCTGCTTTTTTGCTAGCAAAATAGGAGCAAATATAACGGATTTTAAGAAGCACGGAGGATGGAAGTCTACAACAGTAGCTGAGGATTGCATCGATCAATATATTTCTTTTAAAAAGGTTATTGCTGAAAGAATAATCCTAACAGCAAGCTCCAGCGTTACAGCATCGTCCTCTTCACTTCAAGAATTAAATGTTAATGCCCATGAAATTGTCAACTCGGAGACTTCAAATATATTACAAGGATCTTCAACATCGCAAGGTGCGTTTGAGGGATTGTGTAGTATGTTCTGAAGATGACGCATTTTGGTAATACTCCTTAGTGTAGATGTTTCAGCTGTTTGGAGATTTTCTAATGCAGGATTATGACAACTTGAATAAATTACATGTGCATATTCGAAAAGTGGATGACAGATCATTTTATATATTTCAGTTGCAGTTTTAGTATTGATTCCTCTTTTTTTAAATGACAGACTACGAACGTGTTTTCCTCTATTGATGCATTTCTTTTTTAATCATTTTTGTATGGCTGTTCAAGTTGATTTTGTGGTCAATGTTAACTCCCAAGTATTTTACTGATTGCCTACTTCTTACCATTTCGTTGTTGATGTTTATTGTTGGTATCGTCTCTAAAAGGTTGTGATGAAAAGTAATAAATTGTGATTTTCCCGGGTTTGGTCTCAATCTCCATTTATTGAACCAGAACGTTATCCTGTCGACGAGATTTTGCAGTTCCTCTATTGTGAGTGCTAGCGTGCAGTTGTGTAAAAGTAAGACAGTGTCATCTGCATACTGTAGGATGTAAAGATTTTCATTAAATTCATTCTTGTCTTCCAAGTTGTGATTGTATATATCATGGCAGTAAATATCATAGAAAATTGGAGATAACGGAGAGCCTTCTGGAACTCTTTGTTGGGGAGCAAATTTTTTGGTGAATGAATTTCTGACTAACGGTGAGGGTTCTGTTCTCGAAATATTGTTTTATTATACAAAGAAGATGGATAGGGGTGTTCAATTCGTAAAGTTTATATAACATTCCTTCATATTGATATCCAAAAATAGCGCCGCAGAGTGTAGGTTGGTCATGCGTGCTGTTTGTATGTTAGATGTTACAATTACTATAAGGTGGGTTGTATTTCTATTTTCTCTAAAACCAAATTGATACATTGGTATATTGATATGTTCACTGAGTTGATATTTGATGATTTTCTCAAAGCTTTTTCCTAACACTGGAAGAAGAGTATTGGGTATGTACTTGCAGGTCTGTGAATGGTCTGTATTGGGCTTTGGAATGTCAATTTTTCATCCTTCTTTCCAGGCTGTAGGATAGTAATGATTGTTCAAACAATATTCATAGATGGAGATGCTATGTTGGTGTGTGTCTGTCTTATTCTAGGGCTTGTACTATTCTCCTAGATATATTGTCTATACCTGGGACTGTATTTTTTCCCTCACTGATGATGTTATAATATAAATCTCCATCTATTTCTTGATCATTTTGAATTGTGATGTTTTTGAAAATGTTTCTGTACCAATTATTGACAGACTCATATTGATTGTGGTCAAAATGAACATAATTTTCTTTTTGGAAAGCATTCTCAAAATAAGTTGAGAATATATCTGCCTTATCTTCATGTGTTATTATTATACCTACGACTATTAACTTGCAGATTATTGATGTTATTTATTGGCTTGTATGATTTGGTGCCAATAATTTTTACCCTTTTGCTCGTTTATTTTTCACATGTTTGTAACCATTTATTTTCTTTGTACTGCATAATAAATTTCTGGATATTTTTGTTATAGTCATTACTGTTCTTCTTCAGTTGAGGGTACTGGGTGATTTTCAATTCTCTGTACATTTTTCTCTTGTTTTTTATTAGCCTTATGATAAATGGGGGAAGTTCGTGCACATAAAACTTTGTCTTCGATTTTGGAGAGTTGCTTCTGACAGATACAACAAGTTTTTTGTTGGATGTTTCGATATGATTTTCATTAACAATTCGATGGTGTTTGACGAATTGTATCATATCTGCATTTACTCTTTCCATGCTGCACTTATTATAGTTTATCTTGTAATCCTCTTTCTCAATAATCGTATTCATGTTTAAATTCACTTCAATTGCCAAATGGTCTGAAACTAGGTCTGCATGAGTCTCAATTTTTACTATGTTATTTTCCAATTTACTTGTATACAATACCAAGTCTGGAGTGCTGTCAGGATTAAATCAAATCAAATCAAAATATACTTTATTGTCCGAAGATTTGCATCTTATTGACAAAGTCCAAGAAATACAATGTTGATATAAAAAAAGTACTAAAAAAGTATAAATGTAAATATAAAAAAGTTCCAAAAATGAATAAATGTAAATATAAAAAAAAGTTCTAAAAATGTATAGATAAAATACCACCATGTATAAAGTGATGGTAC